CATGGACATGGAACTTTGAATGGAGGTGAAGCTTATACTCCTGGGAGTCCGCTTCACTGCAGGAATGAAAGAAACGGATTGCTATGGTTGAACACTTGAACTCTCAAAGGACAAGGAGGATATTTGAATTTGAAAGGCAGAAAAGACGAGCATGTACACAGCAAAATAATGATACAATTAATAGCCTTGCCCATCAACAATCTTCGTTGCAAGTATCAACTTTTGAAAGGTTATGGAACAATAACATCCCTAACAAAGTTTGTGGCTTGCCTGGCTAGGGATACATGACAGAAATCCATTAAAACTAAAGCTCTTCAAAAGGGGATATGTTCAAAAGGGGAATCATTAAAGAAATAGAGGCAGCTACGTGCAGTTACGTAATGGCTATGTAGAGGATCGCAATCACCTTTTTCCCCTTGTACGGTTGCTTCAATAATTTGAGCAAAATGCAGTCAATGGTGTGGATTAAGCACTGTGCTCGCTGAAACAGCCGGGACTCTTTTGTGCAGCATGATGATATGGTACCTAGAACCAAGAACCGACTGAGGTGGGCTGTGGTTTGGTACTCTTCGGTGTGGATAATATGAAATACCAGGAACGACGTAGTATTAGGTGGCTTCGCGGACGTGCGGATCGGATGTTTGATCAAACACAAGTGAGGACTTTTTGGTTGGTGGAGAACAAAGGGAGTGAAGGAAGCTTCATCCGATCAGATATATTGGATTTTAAGCCCGGTTGTTGTAAAATTTCTTAAGTGATAATAATCATGATTAGGATCACTAGTATTAGAGGTGGCAAAAAACCACCCAACTCATGAAAAGAGATTAGGATTTACATATCTAAACTTTGACCCATAAATAACCTATCATATTAACTCGTACGAGTTATGGATCAAATAGAAGTCAACTAGTAGTTTGATAGGTTAACTCATTTACTTTTTTTTTTTTTGAAAGAAATTTATATTTTATTTACTATTTTTAATTAATTTTCCTATTAATAATTATAATTGAACGATTCTTGAATTCTATATAGTTTAGTTCATTTCCTTTTAAAGAAGTCTTTAATAGAATTTGTTTAAGTATGAATTTTTCATATTTGTTTTCCTATTTTTAATTTTTCACATTCTGGAACTGCTCTCATATTATGGAAATAGATTTATTTGCTGAGAAGGAAAAATGTTAATATCATGGTTTTTAGTGTGCTGCGTGAATCCCAGAAAACATTCTTACCTTCTCTTGGTTATAAGTACCTAAGTTGATAAATTGAATTTTAGATTTTAGATACAGGAGAATCTTGGTATATTTTAGATTTAAATATTTTAAATTTAATATTATTAATTAACTTATTGTTATAGTATTTTGGAACTTTTAAATTTTAATTAGATTTAGATGATCATAATTTTATTTTAATAAAATAAAACTAAAAAAATTAATTATTGAAAATAGAAATGAGGTAAACCTATGGGTTGACCTATAAACCATTAAGGTCGGATTAAAGTTAACTTTTACCAACTCACAACCCATTTACAACTCAATTTATATAACCTGTTATCCAAGTTGATCCAACCCAGACCCAACCCAACCCACTTGTTTGTTAGGCCTAAGTCCTACTATCATTGTTAGTGGCAGGGGAATTAAAATGAATGAATATATATCAAGAACTTGTCCTATGATTGTGAATGGGATTGTGTACCTCTTGTATTCTATAAATGAAATCTTTTTA